ATGGAAGCAGACTGGTTTGTGTAATCCACCTACCCTCTTCTCCAAAAGGAAGCCATTTAGTGACCGTTGTGAGCAAATTTTACAAGGCTTATATAATACAAATGTGTTCAATGCCTACAAAATTGGGCCTGAAAAAATGCTATTGCATTTGTTCCCATTTGTAATTTTCAACTTTTATTGAAATGAAACAAACACACAGAAATTTCCACAGAAATCAGTGGATTAAAGAACTTTATAGCTGTGTATTTCTGACAAATGCAGAGCTTACTGAAGCTACATGGTGTAGCGAAGACAAAGCAGTGAGGCCATAGTGAGGCTATAACTAACAAACTCTGTCCTCTGTAAAGATTAAAGAGAGATCTTTTACTAATGGAAGTTGAGTACTCTTAGTAGAAGGAGTTGAGCTGAAGGAACAATAATTTGTCATAACCGAGACACTTACCTTAAATACATATAAAAATTCCAAAACATGTCATATACAAAGGTTACATTAAGATGCGTTTCTGGAAGCAACCACATTATGACTTTCCCATATATCCTGCCAAGCAGTTCCATGCGGGAATGTCAGTGTGTAATTTACAAATATCACATCTTCCTGTATGGTTACCTCCCGCTGGCTTCTCACCTCCCTTTAGAAAAGGAATAACGTTAAGTTGGGATAGTTATCTCGCGCTAATGACACTCCTTTGGAAGGCCCTAAAACCTTTCAGGGGTGGATCCTTGCTGAAATAAATATTTCTGTGACTAATTAAATGTATTTCATACCCTACAAATGTTTGAGATTTAAATTAGAATGTATGCTACAACATCATTTTGAGTGACACAAGAATAGTAATTTAAGGTCTCACGTGTTCTCCTGAGATAACGCCCTCCTCCACTTTGCTGTGTTCCTGCCCTGGGAGTTGATTTTCTGTGATCTTTGATTTGTCAACTGTCCTGCTCCTATATGAGCTGAGCTTGCCCCAGTGCTTCGTTTAGTTTGACGAGTCTAGACTTTTCCTTCACCTCTTCACCTCCTTGCCGCTTCTTTTTCTCCCTACTTTGTCTCCTTGAAGTCTCCCCATAGACAGGAGACTACTCACAGGGCAGCCGGCTCTCCCAGTCCATTAACCCCCATTTGAAGTTGGGTCCGCACATAAACACAGTTCTAGGCCCTTCCCTGTCCTCTTTTACTTAGTGAAGTCACGCTGACTGTGCGCCTGCAGACTTTCTTCCTTACTTCAGGGAAATATGTGCCTGGCTAAAACTATAAACATGTATTAGCTCTTGGCATCACCCCTATTTTAGTCTCAATTTTATTGCGAAGCGTGGCACTGTAGCCACTTTTCATTCTGTTAGGGATTCATTTTCTTCCCCACTGCTCCGCCATGTGATGTTTTGGGGAATGGCGAGCTAGCCAGGCTGTCACTCCGTCTTCTGCAATCCACTGGAGATCCCCAGTCTGACTGAGACATGCTCTTTGAGGAAACCGTTCTCGGGAACAGATTAACGTGGTGTGCTGGCTACTTTTATGTCGGCTTGACCAAAGCTAGAGTCATTTTGGAAGAGGAGACCTTAATTAAGAAAATGCCTCAACTGATGGCCTGTGGGTAAGCCTGTGCTCCATTTCCTTAAATGCTGTTTGATACGGAATGGTTCAGATCACTGTGGGCTAGTAATCCGGTAAATAAGAAAGCAAATGAACAAGCTATGAGGAGCTGGCCAGTAAACAACACTCCCCCCATGGCCTCTGCTTCAGTTCCTGCCTGAAGGTCCCTGCCTTGGCTTCCCTAGACAATGGACTATAAGCTATACAATGGAATAAACAAAACAAAGTAAAACCAGTTTTCCCCGTATTGCTTTGGGTCATGGTGTTTGATCACAGCAGTAGAAACCCTAACTAATACAAGTGGGATATGGCGACGTACCAACATCTCTTTGAATAAATCAGACTGACATAGTCCAATAAAACTCCCTGCAGTTGGGGAATTTGTCCACATCTTCATTGTCAGTTCAGCAGCCACTGACTATATCTAGCTAATAATCACTTGAGTGAATTTTTAAGACTAAAAAAGTTTTATTTTATTTTAATTAATTCAAGTTTAAATTTATAGGGCCACACACAGCAAATCTAGGCAATATAAAACATGAACACTACACACCATAGCCAAGGAAATGGAAATTAAAAGGGACAATCAAGAAATATAATGGGAAGGAGGTAAACTGCCTTCAACGAGGGAAAAAAGATGTTTCAATCATTCAGAGTTAGTGTACTCAGGACAATGGGGAGTGAGTGGCACCATGAAATGAAAAGGTTGCTAGGTGATTCTGAAATTTGAGGATGTTAACAGGTTGAGTTTCCAGTGGTCAGTAGACTCCCAAGTAGAAACAACTAGAATTCTCAGACTGCACGGGGTGGAGGAGAGTCACAACAAGACATATGAACTGGTTTCCTTTGACACGGTCTTGAGAGAGCCCCCTCTCTTTGCTCTTATGTACCCCCTTTCCAAGACTGCCTCGTCCTCCCCCACATGGAGAGACCCCGAAATACAGCATAATAATGAGGGTGCAGAGAAATGACCACTTCACCTCCTGGGTGATTAATATGGAATTAGTTCCTGCCAGCCTCAGTGGTGCAGGGGAGACTGAGGAAGAATTGGTTTTGTTTTAGCAAAGAAAAATACAAGATCCCATGTCTTACATGGAGAACCTTTTCATCTATGAGTCTCTACATACTTAGGAAGCTTAACTAATTTGAAAAACCTCAAAGAAAGAGAGACATGAAATAAAGAACTCAGATGCTGGTGTCCTATCTCTGCTATTTTAGAAAAATCAGGCTTGGCATTTTCGTATTCCATTAATCCACAAGTGTAGCCCCACGCGGCGGCCAGGGGGTATATATCTTTCTCCTGACGATTTCTCTCAAGGCATCGCAGTTATGAGAGAGAGGGAACACACAGAATCGCACCCTTGGACTTTCCTGGCGTCTTTTTACCTTATTTACAATGGAAATCCATCCCTATCCTTGTAGTACGGTAAGCATTCTCTAATAAACCAACCTGCACCATTCCTTGGAAAATGGAAAATCTTGGCACAATGCCCACTTTAGACTGAAACTCAAATTTCATTGGAGCAGACTGTCTTCTTTATAAAAAATTTTCCAAAACAAACATCCATGAATCTGGGACACTCTTGCATTGAAAGGGGACAGGAAAGGCACTTTAATGGGCACCCTGCTGTGTAATCTTTTCATCTTAATTCAGAATTCCTTAGAGATACAAACTGCCTTATGAAAAAAATACAAATCCTTCCAATCATTTATATGTCAGGTACGTTTTTAGCTTAGTGAAAACAGGTATGCAATAATGTATCCTGGCATTTCTTTTCATCTGTTGTGACCCCGAGGTAGGTGCTGCTTTTCTGCCCTGTGCTTCTTTCTGTTTTATTTTGTTGCTTCTTTCTCTTGCCCAATTTCTTCTCCATTCTCCTGAGATTAAAAAAAAAAAAAAAACTAAAATACAAACACTGTCCTCTCTCAAGAAAAAAACAAAATACTTTGAAAGACCATGCCTTCTAACGATTTCGACAAAGGGTTTGATGTCTGGAAAAGGAAAATAGCAGCTACATACAGAAACAACTGTATTTGTTTGAAGAGAAGTTGCTGGGGACTTCGGGATCTGTTTATACCTGGTCCAGGGCTTCTGTCTGTGTCTACAGGCAAACATAGACCTTTCACCGCTAGCCATAGCCTCTTACTGTCTCTGAGTTATGTATGGATTTCAATTTTGTCCCCATCCTGTTCAAGGCAGGATCATCTTACTCTCGCATCCCATATATCCTACATCTTCTTTTCTCAAGGGGGAAAGGTAAAAGGTCCTCCGAACACCATCCACATCATGGGTGTCGAATAGGACATCTAAGTGAGCTTCCCATCTTAGTGCACTAGTCTAATGCCATCTGGATTCGTCCTTACAGTTCAGGTGGGTATAGAACCCACCTAAATACATGTTCTGCTCCATCCCCAGTCTCTACATACTGTCACTGGCTACCAGTAACTTTCTGAGCTAGCACTTAAAGCTTCAGGGCTATGGAGTTCTGCCAGTAATGAGTTTAATTTACTTATATGTGCCAATTCATCTCTGTCACAAGCCTATTAATTTCTTCATTATTTTACTCTGTCCCTGGCCCTTGCACAATGAGGCACAATGATCCCCATTTGTGTAACAAGAAGAAAAGGTGGAGTCTCTTATAAATTACCTTCAATTCTGCTGCTTTTAGTGAACAGGCAGTCCCTGTATTTCTTTTTCATATTTAAATCAATGTTTTCAAACTCTTCTTCAGAAGAATACACTGAAACTCTGGAGTGCTGAAGAGTGACATCATAGCAAAAGTGTAGGCTTCTGATGGGCACTTTCCCACGCAGCCTTGTCCCAAGAAAGACTTTCACCGCACCTCTTCCAAGGCGGACGTTTGCCACAAGCGCAGCTCCTTTATAGGGAGGGACTGCTGTCAGTTCCTCGTCAGTCACAGATGTCTCCATATACCTGTAGCATCAGTCGGAGATGTCTCAGGGTACCTATAGCATGGCACCCTTCATCAGTCAGAGATGTCTCAGGGTACCTATAGCATCACGTCCATTCATCAGTCAGAGATGTCTCAGGGTACCTACAGCATCACGTCCATTCATCAGTCAGAGATGTCTCAGGGTACCTATAGTATTGCACCCTTCATCAATCAGAGATGTCTCAGGGTACCTATAGCATGGCACCCCTCATCAGTCGGAGAGGTGTCAGGGTACCTATAGCATTGCTATCAAAGTGAAGACTGACAAATAAAGGTCATGGATTTAGAACTAATCCTCTTGTGCTTTTGACATTTCTGCGTGGTGTAATCTTGAAGACACAGGAAGGTGACAGCTAAGGGGTTAGCAAGAGTTAACAGAGATCTGGGAGACTGTTTCGTTGTATTAGCATCTGAAAGTCACATTCGCCTGCACCACCTCTCTCTTCTCTATTTTTCAGGACTGGAGGCAAACACCAGGAGCTAAGGGAAAAGCTGGCAGGAGGTCTTGTCGATTATGCCGCTGGAGCCGCTGGGCCAGTGCATGACATGGACGATGATGAAATGGACCCCAATTATGCCAGAGTGAACCACTTTCGGGAGCCCTGCACATCAGCAAATGTCTTTAGATCTCCGTCTCCCCCTCGAGCTGGACCACTGGCTTACCCTCGGGATGGACGTCCTCTGTCTCCAGACAGAGACCACTTAGAGGGTCTCTATGCCAAGGTCAACAAGCCATATCATCCTCCAGCCCTGGCTGACAGGTAATGCTATGAAAGATGGTTTGCAGTTTTAACTTAGTAAGTCTCAAATCATCCCTACCGCTGAAGCAAATAAAAGCATATCCTTCAATCTATTAAAGCTAAAATGACATGGTGCCCTAGACAAGTGTTCCACTTTGACCTACCATGAAGGTATCAGTCATCAAAAATAAAACAATAACTGGCTATAAGGTGGCATGAATGAATGGTAGCAGCAGAGTCATGGTACAACAGGGAACAATCCTTGCAGGAATACAGTGCAGAGAACTAATGATGAAGACTTTGAAGGCCTATTATCTTTTTGTCCTGAGAGCCCTATTGTAAGAAGATGGCATGAAACATGGAGGTGAGGAGTCAGACAAGGGAAAATGGCTTCCAAGTAGGCATAATTGGAGCGGGGTTACAGATAGCTACCACAGTGCAGGAGACTTTGAAAAATAAGATCGGGATTTTCCAATCGAGGAAAACTAAACTGCCTGGCAGATGTGGAAAATGAGATAATCTTGGTCCTAGGAGTTTGATGAAGCGGCAAAAGATAGGATGTGACCTGGAGACTTAGGAGCAAGGGAAAGAGGATATTGAGAACGTCTGTCTGGATCAAGTTAGGAGCAAGATGATTCCAACTGCACCTCTTGCCCAAAGAAGAATGTCCTGTCAGGGAAAGGATGTCCTAAAAGAACTTCGGTCTGTATGCATCGTCATGTGACCTTGGAGTCAGGAATGAGTGGATAGAACTTGTTCTAATTGACTGCTGCTGTTTGAGATCTGTAGGGAGAAAAGGAAGAGGATGGTGCAAGAAGCGCTCATGCTAGATGAAAGAAAAAGACTCATTTTCCAGATCCCCTAGGGTTCCGACGACCACCGGGACCCTAGCAGTAGCCAGCTTTTGTGTGGTAGCATGATATATCGCGTATGTTTACCGTTTACACATTTCCCCAGCTGGGTGATATTATGCACTTTCAATTAGGTTGGGGAGAGGAAGGGAAATCATGGCATTTTATGCAGACTGTAAAGTGTAGCTTCACAAGACTGATTACCTTTCAGAACCTTTCCAATAACCAAGTGAGAAGCGAGGAGCAATTTTTAATCCTTACTGTCAAGCTTCCAGGTTGATGATATTAAAGAAAGATGGTCAAGTTTTGCATTAAGACAAAATGAAAATATAAATTCCTATGACTGTGTGATGCGGCCATCATAAGCAAATTGCTAATTCCAAGGATTGATTAAGAGTTGGCCTTTTTCTCTCCAGTCTTCTCATAGGGTTGAATTTTATCATGTAAATAATAATGCTATTCTAGAGTCTATTCCAGGCTAAAGCATAGTCAATCTTCCTTTCCCCCAGTCAGAAGGGCTTCGTAGCAATCCTCTTCGCATACATACGATAGAACAGCAACACATGAAGACTGTATTCCCCAGACCTTCCCGAGCTGGTGTGCTCCAGTGCTGATTCCATGGGAGTAAATGTGGGACATTCTAAAAGAAGAGATTATACCAAACCAGAAGCAGAATTAACCCCCAGAAATAGGGGTTAATTCTCTTTTACTGTAGTCTTTTTTCAATGATGTGTTAATATGCACTGTTGACACCCGAGAATACTATACAACCAGAACGCATCGTACCCAGAGTATTTGTCACTAAAGTTTATTTTACCCGTATTTTGCTAAGACTCTGTATTGTTCAGATTCCTTTATCTGTGACAAAAATCCACGAGACAAACAACCCAAAAGCAGAACTCTTTGTTTGTATGTGGTTTTGTAGGTCTCAGTATGTGCCATGGCCACTCAGCCAAGCTGTTCCTGGGCTCCACATCATGGTGTGAGAAATGTTTGGGGGCAAAGCTACTCTTCTAGAGACAGCAGGAAGCAGAGAGGACCAGGCCCTTCAAAGTCCTGCCCTTCCTGGTGGTTAATATTGGCTGTGAACTAGGCAGGGTCTAGAATCTGGACGTATCTGTGAGGGAGTCTCTATATTAGGCTAGCTGAGGTGAAGACCCATGCTAGAGTAGGCATCAGCAAGTATTTCATGAGTCAGAATTCCATACTAAATCAAAAGGGAGGGGCAAGCCGAATAATAGGGCTTATCTGGCTTCCTGATAACGTGATCAACTGCTTTGGTTTCTTTTCTCATAATTTCTCCATCATGATAGGCTGACTGCACCCTCAAACTGTTAACTAGAATAAACTTTCCCCCACCGAAGTTGCTTCTTCCCAGATATTTTCTCACAGTGAGGGGAAGAATACCAAATGTTCCCCCAGACCCTTGCTTCCTCATCTATGACCTTATCAGCAGACCAACCCACTGACAAAGTTGCCATCTCTCTGTGACCTCAGCCATAAACACTGTTGCACTGGCACCGAACCTTCAGTACTGAATCCATAGGGGACATTTTTAGTTCTAAACTATAGCACACATGTGGATACACTGTTGCCCATGTGGTAGTCCAGGAAAGAAAACTCATTGCATAATGTTAAAGACAGCAACTTTAAAACACTGCCAGAAAATGGTTTCTTTACTGCCAAGCCAAGGTTCTGTTTGAGTAACAGAGTCTTCACTTTGGCTCTGGCCTCTTCGTGTCAATGAGTGCTCCAAATCTGCCTTCTACAGAGCCTTAGGTAGCTGTTAAACTTTTGGATAGCAGATCAAAAAGAAACTCTTTTTACCCAGAATTGTCTTGATTCTGCTCTTATCTTTAATTGTGTTGAAACTCTGCTCTGTTCCTTTTTCTTGAAGTCTTAAAGCAAGCAATTTTCCCTTGATGCATAGCAAGCACTATGAAATGGTAGTTATTATCATCATGATTACTATTATGACCACTCATACTGTCCGAGAGCAATGAAATTCTGGGCCTACGTACATATAAGACAGTTGTCCGAGCAATGTCTCCAAGCAGATACCTTATTTTCTGAGTTCTAAACCTATCTTATTTTAAAGTAAAGGATGTATCACTTTCTGACCCATCTGTTCAATCATTCTTCATTCAATAAGCGTTCATTTGTCACTTACTATGTCCTAGATACTGTAGAAAATTCCAGGGAATATGGGAAGATGATCCTGACATATCAATGAGGACTAGAGGAGGTCCTCTTATATCCAGTAGAAATCCAGTGGAAATGGAGAGTTGTAATAGCCTGTAGTTAAAAATGAAAGCTTTTCTTTTTTGTGTGGCCCATATGCAAAAGGCATCCTGAAGCAAGTGATGGTAGAGCTGGCTTTGGGGGGAGATCCTTAAGCATCAACAATAAGATAACTGCTTTCCATTACAAAGTAGTCAAATGTGAACAAGGATCGAGTTGCTAGAAAGAGCATGCATTTAAGGAAGTCCAGAAACACCCAGGACACGGCTTGTAGGGAAGAAGGAAAGTGAAGGGAATGAGTCTAGTCTGCACAGCACATTGAAGTCACGTGTCCATCAATAGGTCACATGTTGATAGTTCTTGGTTGATAGTAGCTGCCTAGAAGTCTGTAGGTAGAGCATCTCACAGCTGTCTAACTCGGACTCCAGAAATCTGGGTGGCAGTGTACAGTGGGGACTGATGTGTGTCCCCATCCTGTGACCACTGTCATAACTGTGTCCACTGAGGTCAAGAGAATGAAACCTACAACGAGAATGTGGCCACTCAAAGGCCATTGGTTAACTTAGAGATGGCAGTGCCAGAAGCTTAGTAAGAGGCCAGGAAACTTGCAGTGAGACTCGATGAGGAGGAGGTGAGGATGGAGTGTGACCCTAACAGTAATGAGAAAGCAGAGTGGTGGGCAGGAAAGGGTATCTCCGAAGTCACGTCTAACACGGTGCTTCAGAGAGAGCTAACAAAGTCACCTCACAGTAATGCTGCAGAAAACGGGGCTCAGGGAATGGGAGTAACTGGCCCAAGATTAGGACTTAATTCTTCACCTCTCTGTGTTCTTTTCCCTCACCCACCCTGTCTCTCAGGCACGCCTTCTCCCTTCCTAATGCGGTGTGCAGATAAAGTGGCTCAGTTTCGGGTTCTTAACATGTTAAAGGTGCGTTAAACCATGACTTCTGGAATGGGGCTGATCTCTGTCAGGTTCTCTTCTGGATTACAACGGCATGGACTTCAGTAAGATGACTTTCCCAAGATGCCATGTCTCATCCTCGGGCAAGCAACGCAACAAATACTTGTGGAGCGTGCATCAAGTTCCAGGACTGACCATCGGTCCTGAGTTCAACAGAGATTGAGGGAAAATGGTACATCCTCCTTACAGAGGGTTGCTGTACACTAAAAGATAGGTAGATTTTTTTTAATTTTTTAATTTATTTATTTATTAATTACTTAAAGATTTCTGTCTCTTCCCCACCGCTGCCTCCCCTTTCCCTTCCCTTCCCCCAATCAAGTCCCCCTCCCTCTTCAGCCCAAAGAGCAATCAGGGTTCCCTGCCCTGTGGGAAGTCCAAGGACCACCCACCTCCATCCAGGTCTATCTTAACAAAGACAGTGGTGAGCACATTGTAGTTGCCACAGCTGGGCTGTTAGACTAGTAAATGGGAACAAACAAGGGAAAATCAAAGTGACAGGAAGTGTGGTATGAGAGAACAGAGCTTCTTCAGCTCCACTCACAACTCTTTGACACCCAAGATTTTAATGCTACCCCTAAGCATTTATATAAGTAATAAAATACATATACAAGTTAAACAGTTACTGATAATATATTATAAATACGTTTATTTTAAGATGGTTTTTTATGTATAATTTTACCCGGCATTAAAAATGAAAGCAGATTTGCATACTAATGAGATGCATGCTCATTTATTTTACATAAAAAATTCAATCATGGCTGAATATTTGATGCTATAGGACATAAACCATCTTCAGCGTTTTTCAGAATTGATCAATACTTTGATTTTATAATTGCCAATGCTAAGAACACCACTTCACATAAATAGAACAAAATGACAGAAGTTGTGCTTAGGGCCCCTGTTGGAAATTCTATCCTCATCATAGGCCAGAATTCATATATTGATTGTTCTCTGTGAAATCCAAGCCAGCAACTCTAACATCAATCTTTCAAATCAAACATTCTAACAAAATACAATTGAAAGACACATGAAATTGATATTTTCTTGCTGAGAACTGGTGGTAGGAAAACATTCAAAGTCTGAGTTTTCCATAGTCATGTAGGTAGAGTAAAAATACTTCAGCCCTTAACACACAGCCTTCTGAAATCTGAGCCAAGGTATAGTGTTCAAAGCTGTTTATGTTGCATGATCAGGGCCAAGGCTGCAGTGAAGGTGAGGGACACGGCATGGGTGAGTGCTGCCAAAAACACCATGAACTGATTATGTGGTAATCATGCATCCAGAGACCTTTTACTGTTGCCAAAATTTTGCAACCTTTATATCCATTTATGACCTCTTATGGGGTTATGACTCACAGCGTAAGATACTGGATATTAGTGGAAACAGAAAAGGCTCAACGGCAAGAGATAAAAATAGAAAGGTCCAAGAGCTGAGCAAAAAAGAGGTGGGGTGACTGACCCTTGGTCAGCAGAATGAGGCACTACACTCACCGTGAGTGAGATTCGGGGATAGCTGTGGGAGAAAGAAGGAGCAGGCTGAGGGTTTATACATGGGGTACAATCCTAAGGGACAGCTGTGGGAGAAGGAGCAGGCTGAGGATTTATACATGAGTACAATCCTAGAATTCTGCAAGCTGATCAATAACAGAACATTCTCACCTTTCTATCTGATAGAGGCTTAATGCCATAATGCTTTAAATGATGAGCTGGTTAAAAACAATTTACTTTTTTATTAAATTTTCATCTCTATAAAAAATGTATCTGTTAATATATCTGTGCTCAAAACTGACCTATTTAGTCCTGTCTCATAATCTATACCTGTAGCCCTCTTGGTGGCTGGTTCCCTGGATACACTCAGTTCTATTGAGTTTATGAACACTGTGTTAATCATGGTGTACACAACTGGATGCCATCTTTCAGAGTCACCCGAAGTCAAAGGATTTTGTCTTCCTTGGCCCTCATCCTTTATATCTATTGACGTGACCTGAACTTACACATCAGCTCCAATTTCTAGCTTATGTTATACTTTTTCTAAAGCGTCTATGCTTTTTCATTTGCATTATTGTTTTAGTTTGTTTGATACTATTAGAATAAACCATGACCAAAACTGAGGAAAGATTTTATTTGAGCTTGCATCTAGAAGGGAAGTCAGGGCAGGAACTTGAAACTAGGAACTGAAACAGAGGCTGTGGAGGAATGCTGCTGACTGGCTTCCTCTTCCTCGCTTACTCAGCCTGCTTTCTTACACAACCCAGGGCCAGGGGTGGGACCTGCCCGCCGTGGGCTGGACTCGTCCACATCAATCATTAGTAAAGACAGTATACCCCCACAGACTTGTCAGCAGGCCAATATTATGGAAGCATTTCCTCAGTTAAAATTCCCTCTTCCCATCTGACTCTAACTTGTGTCAAGTTGACAAAACTCTCTTCAGGACAGTTGTCAAGCTATGTATTATTGAATCTTATATATGTAGAATAAATTTTTATTGGAGGATTTTTTTATCTAAACTAAAAATATACCTGTTAGGATTAAAGCCAGGCATGATTGTCATACACCCCCAATCCTAACAGGTTCAAGATGAAGCAGGAGAATCATTTGTTTGAGCCTAGACTGGGCTACATAGTGACACCCTGTCTTCCAGCCCCCTTCCCCCCAAAAATGTACTTGTTAGTTTTAGCTCATTATTATCATCCATAAAGATATTCTGTTTGTTCAAAGTATTAGCTATGCTTCATAGGTTAGTTTTGTCACTCTCATATTTAATCGTTGAGACTCATCTATGTCATTGATAAGATCATTGATCAGTGTCAAGTATAATCTTTGCAATTCATTACTTGAAACCTCCATTAATCAGCTCTCTGTGGGATCTTCACTTAGCCATACAGTTGACTGTATATAGTTTACACTCTTCATTTCAATCGGAAATGCTGGAAAACGTCTGACATACTTTGATATGTGCCGTGCTTGGAAGAGCCACTCTGCTTACCATCTCTTACCCTAGGCACGAAAGGAAACTACATGTTCTTAGTGAGTCCAAAAGTAATTTTTTTCTAGGACAGATGATCCAGATAATGATTACATTTAGACATAATTATAAGATTTTATGTGGTTCAGTAATACTGGAACTTTCGTATTTGCTTACTCGGTGTTTATTGACTAATGAGTGATAACTGTGAAATTAAAGTGGTCAATAGCAGAGAACACCCTAGTCATCAGGTAAGTGTCCGCATTCTCCAGCATGTATGTGCAGGTGCTTTGTAGAAACCTTTAGTGAGCGTCTGTTACATTGCAGAGCTCATACAAAGGAGTTTAGCGGTCCTGCCCCTCAAGAAACCCAATCTAGCGGCTGAGTCTGTCTCATAAACAGATTAAAAAAGGATCATAGTGTGGTGTTAAGAGTTATAAACCGAATCCACTATAAAAAAAACCTTTAAATTGTAAGCACATTTTATTTTGGAAAAAAACTGAAACTTTGGCACTTTCCAGTAACATTGGTTAAAATGATCAATTTTTCAAAAACTTAAGTTTGAGAACTGTAAAATCAAGAGAAGGGTGTACCCTATATCCACGGGGCTGTCTGTGGCTGCAGTGGAACAAGCCCATAGCCTGCCTCCATAAACATCAGCTATGCCTCTCAGGAAAGCTTCTACCCAGTAACATTGGACCATAGAACACAGTAGGCTGTATATTGAGGGCAGTGAATTTACGTATAAATGCTTATGAAGGTTATTATTGTATCTTGCTGTTGACCCTTGAAGTCATGCATTTTAGAACCCAATAGATTCCATCTGTTCCATGGTCACATGGTTTAAAGCTAATCCTACCTCCAACTCTAACTCTTGCTGGAATATTACAATTATGAAAAACAAAAAGGTAGGAACAGAAAAGTGAGAGGATAATATACAAAACAACTGAGAAACATCTCAGATTCTGTGAGTTTTGTCATATCATTTGCATAAATGAATAATGTAGTTGTTAAACAGTGGGATACTTAGGTAATTATCTTATTCAATCCGTAGCTTATTAGATATTCCTAAGCTAGTCATCAGAGTGAAGGCTATCTTCTTTCCATGTCACTTGAATGTCCAATAGCCACATGTTGAGCCAGCCCAGTTGTCATGGCCCTGGAAGAGCTGTCAATGACAGAATGTGTGAAATCACATCTCTTGGCTATAAAACTAGAAAACCCAATGGATATGTTTGTGTTTTCCATTCATGTGGCCCTGGCCTCTTCAAGTGACCTCTACCCATCTTCTTCCTTGTCTTCAGTCTGGGGAGGACCTGAAGCTGTGGGTGGGGCTTCCTGTGAGTAGGTTTCATCTTGTGTTGTATCATAATTCTAAAATAATCTTGTGTCTATTATCCAGCAGAAAAAGGTTATTTGAAAGGGTTGAATAATCAGTGAAATACTCTAAGCAAGTCGATTCCTTTGTAAAAAAAAAAAAAAAAATAGCCAGGAGTCTCCAGTAACTTCACATTGGCAGAAATTAAATGGTCACTTCTATACACAGGAGAATGTGAAAGATAGTGTTTCATCTTTTCAGTCAATGAAGTCAGAAGAGAAAGGAGTTCCAAGTGGCTGTTATAGATCACTGCTTGGAATCCATCACAATCAGGTCAACTCCAGATGACTTATTTCTTCTCCCCTTTCTCTCCCCTTTAATAATGCAAGTTTTAGATGAGCAGTACACAGCACTGGGGTTAAGTATATTCCTGTTAGCTTCACATGGGAGGTTTTCCTTATCGGTACCGTGTAGTCCCTCTCTAATTCAGGCAGAACTATTTCTGTCTGAGTAACTTCGACTGTGACTTAACTGAAGTACTTGGGTAGCTGTCTTCTCAGTTTTGGCAATCTCTGAAAATTCTGTTTTGGGAAATTCTCCAAGAAGAGGAAAGATGGATTTGAAAGGTATCAGCAGGCTCGGCAGCCAGGTGGGAACAGCTGGGGGGGGACGAATCATGTGCTCCCGGGGCAATGTAAGATAATTGATATCTCTGTCACAACAGTGTGTTAATTGCAGAGATGCAGCATTTCACTAAGCCTGCTCTGTCACAGACAGCTCGCAGGAGACTGATGTTTGTTCCCAGTCTCCTCCCTAGAGATTTTCCCAGTTAATTTTATTTCAGTTTCAGAGTATTTTAGATCTTCCTTCTGACTCATACCTTTATGAAACCCGTGTGTGGGATCTGAACAGTGAATACAATAATTTCTTAGAGATGTAGGNCCTACAAGCAGAGCCAAAGCCATCTCATTTCACTTCAGGAATCCCAGTGATAAATGCTTTTTCTATGGAGATTTAACTCATCAGTTGAATGAAACAATCAGACTTTCCCCCCTCAGAACATAATGCCATTCATGTTTAAGTGACTTTTAGATAATAATGAGAAATCTCTTAATGAAAGAATCGCTATGACCAGGTAAGTGCTAAGAGTAACGGATATATCATTAACTCTACTTTCCCTTCTCTTTTAAAACTTGAGTTCTCATTAATTTTTCTATGTTCTGAGAGCCCCACTTTTGGGCTGATGCTACTAATAACAGACAGACTAAATTATCTGTTTTCAGGAGTGAAAGATGTAACTAGTCTTCTAAGGAGGAGGGTTGATATGCAATAACTATCCATTCCTAAGGCCACCTCCCCTCCTAACCCCAGATAAATAAACATACTCTACCCTGATTGTTAAAATGATTGTACATTTACTCATTTAGATGTTTTTCAAACAAATGACTTGAACTTTGGGATCTATTCATCTAGCTAAGTATTTACTCAGATGAGGTTGAAGGGTATATACAGGCTATCCTCAGCAAAACATGACCCAGCACAAATGGAATAGGGTGTTGAATTGATGGAAAGAACAGTCATGTTTTTCCTTGGCTATCCACAGGACTCCCTCCCTCATTCGTTCATGCCATACATTCTGAGATGCCTGTTATACACTAAATGCTGTGTACAAGGCTATGGAGATGTAACAGTGTGTTAGGAGCCTTGAACTCTGTCTCTTTCTCCAGCAGAACTAGACTGATGCTGATCTACTGCAAGCCTCTTAGGACCTGTGGTTTGCATTCATCTATTAGGCTAAGCCACGTACCTTTTCATTACACAGTCTTTGCTGATGCCAAAGACAGATTTCAAAGTACCCTCTTTACAATTTCTGGATTTAATGCAATGTGTAATCAAGAATAGGCCATTGTTAGGTCAATTACTTTCCTGTATTTATCTTTTCAAACAATAAATAATCAGTGGGATTGAGGGGGCAGTAAAAGAGAGTTTTAATGCTGGTACTCATAAATATCCACCCGCTTAAAGAGACGTTTTAATATTTATATGTGGTGGAATGCCCTCCCCTCTAGAGAGAGCTTGGCTGAGGGCGGATAGGAATCCATGCAGTATTCCTGAGTCACCGCTTTGTATGGGCTCACAGGCAAGCCTGAGCAAGCCAGGGGCTGTGCCCAATAGTCAGTCTCTCAGTTCCCAAATTACCAGTACCTGTGTGTACACACCTAAGAAGGAAACTTTTTGGTACATACTCAGTGGGCTTTCTATGTCAAGTTTAGTAGAGGACCCCGGGCCTGACCATGCTCTTCAGACCAAAGCCTGAAGAGATCACCTAATAGCACTGTTTCCCGCTGTTGCATTCCTCATAAAGTGCAGGACTGGAAGACACTGTTCAGGTTATACGCACTTGACACCAGGAGCCAAAAAAGCACAGTCGTGTTCTGGAGAACGTTAGGCTTAACGTCAAGCATGAAGCGAGAACAGCTCCCAGGCACGCGCACTCCGTGATCCCCGAAAGCATGCTGTAAGTGTGTAGTGAGCGTGGTATCAATGGAACTTCTATCCGTTGTTACTTACTTTTCACTTGCTGGCAGGGAAGGGGAGCCTGTGTACAAGAGGACACAAGAGGCTGAACATAGAGAGATTCTGAAGCTGAAACTTATTTTGGGGAACTGCTTCTGTTACCCAGCACTGTTGCATAACTAGACAAATCACTTCCCTTGTTTCTTGACTTACATGTCTAGAGATGAGCCTAAGCACAGTACCTAAAGAGAACGCTGTTCCTAGGACTTACATGTGTTTGCATATTCAAGTAGGGTGCATCATTGTGTAGTTAGTAAGCATCTTTATATGTAGTAATTCCTGAGAATTTATACCATTCTGTCATTAAAATTACTATTCATCCCATAGACGCTAGCACAGTGACAGATGCCTATAGTTACAGCACTTGGAAGGCTGAGGTACAAAGACCATGATTGGGGTCCCTTAGGGCTCCACAGCAAGACATTCACATAAAAATGCTGTCTGTTAATTCCCTTGTTGGTCCTTACTAGCGAACTGAAGTTGGGAGGAGAAGTATATTTTGCCTCTCACTGTTTTTTTTTTTCCCCTAGTGTTTGTTACTTATATAATTCCAGCAAAGTATCCAAGAGGGAGTTGATATTGGTTCTAAACTGGGGGTTCTAAACTGGGTGCAGATCTGTACAGCTGCTTCAGCAGTCAGGATGCAGGACCACTTCCATCAGCGCGAAGAGATGGCCCACGTTCCCCTTTGTAGATACCCTTCCCCCATCCCTGCCGCTCGTCAATCACCAATCTGTTTCACATCCCTGTAAGTGTGCCCTAAGTAGCATAGTTCAAAAGTAGCATTAGGAAAACGGAGACTATGACATTCTGACACTCACTTTTTTTTCCCAAACACTATAAGGTTCTTGAATCAACCATGTCATTGTCACTATCAAAGAATTCCTTTACTCTGTGTTGTTGGGTAGTAATGGTACACATGTAGTATGATTAACATTTTAAGCATTATAGAGATGGGAGAGATGGCTCTCTTCCGGATTTTATGTGAATACATACTCTATTTCTTCCATTTCTCTCTGTATACCTTTTTTTCTTGCCTTATTGCACAGGCTATAACCTTCAATACTATGTTGAACAGCAATGGAAACACTGAAGACCCTCACTTTTTTTTTTCCAAACATATGGAGAAAGCATCCTGGCTTTCACCTTTGTAATATTAGCTACAGGGATTTTGTTGGTATCTTTATTATGTTGTGGAAATTCTCTTTAAATTCCTACCTTTCTGAGAGTTATCAAAAGTCATTGAGTTTTTTCCAGGTGTCTTTTCTACTTCAACTTATATAATCTTGTGATTTCCTTCTCTATTCATTCTCAGATCACCAACCATAATTAAATAAATGCCACATAGTTTTGATATATAATTGCTGTCATATTTTACTATTTGATAGCATTTTGACAAGATGTTTTGCATCTAAATCATAAGGAATACTGGTCTATAAGTTTCTTAATTTCATCTTTCATTTTGATTTGGGTGTAAGACCAGCTTCTCTGAATGAGTGGGGAAGTAGTATGTACTTTTCTTTTCCTGAAGAGTGGGTAGAAGTGGATTTAATTCTTCCTTAACCCTTCAGAAGATCTCTCTGATAAGACTATCAGAACCCTGACATTTCCTCTTTAGGAGGCTTTTAATTATAAATTCAAAGACATTAATAATTGTAAGTCTGTTTAGATTATTTTGTATTGTGTGAATTATGGTAGTTTTAATCTTCCTAGGAGTTGATTCCTTTTTTATCAAAATCACATTATGGAATTATCTGTATCTTTCTTAACCTGTTGATAAGATACTGTCTTGTCTTCTGAGGCAAGCACTTTACAGATTAACTACCCCCCCCCAGCCTCTCATCTCCTTATTAACCTACAGGGTCAGCTGTGTTATTCGCGTTCCTTCTTGATACTGAAACTTACGTTTTTTTCTCTTTTTGTTGTTGTTTTATTTGAAAGTCAGATCATTTTATTGATTTTTTCAAAGGATCGGCTTGTTTTTCCCTCATTTTTCTGGTTCTAATTTCCTTGATTTCTGCTTTTTGTTATTTTCTTAATTCTTTTTGTGTTGTTTTCATTTGGTTTCATGTCTCCTTTTTTCTAATTCTCTAAGTGGAGGGAGAATACTGATTTAAGACTGTCTTGTTCGATGTAACAATTTGTTTTAAATTCCCCATTCAGCCCTGCTTTAGGTATATTGCATACATTTTGATACAGTGTATATTTGTCATTTGTTATGTCTTTAAAGTTTACTTGAAAACTTTTCTTTGACCTGTAAGTTAGATATCTTTGGTTTTAGGGATTTCTCTATTATCTTCTTACTGTTAACCACTCATTTTACTACACTGTGATCACAAAACATATTCCCTACCTTATGATTGTAACTTTGTCTCTTCAGTTTTATCAAGTTGGGGCTTTTACCATTTCTATGACATAATTCCATCATTTTTAGCTCTCAATATTTTCATAAAATGTCTGTTGTCAGAATACTTCCATGCCTTCGAAAATAATTTTATCTTGCTCTTTTAACTGCTTAAATTTTTGATGTTTAATTTCAGAAGTTTACTGGGACATACATGTGGATATATGTGTTCCTGTGTGTAGATATGTATGGATGTATGGGTGCATGTGGAGTGTGCATGTGTGTACATATGAGTTCGTGTGTATGCAGGTATGTACATGTATATGTGTGCATATGGATGTGTGCATGACTGTGGATGCATGTGTGTGAATGTGTGTGTATAAATGTGTGCATGTAGATGTGTGCATATGTGCACCTGTATGCATGTGTGTGTGCATGTGTGTATTTCATGGATATATGTGTAGTATTTAAACCTGGTAGGATATATATAGCCTCATAAATCTATGACTTAATCCTCTAATTAGCTTTGGAAAATGGGGTATCTCTGCAAATATTCTTCCTTTGTTTCCATCTTAACTCCTGCCTCAGAAATCCAGTGAAATAAAAAAAATTAGAGCTTTCTGTTCCATTTTCTTGTTTTTATCTTTTAGTTTTGTTCTTCTATAATGTCCTGTTTACTAATTTACTAGTCTTGCCTCTGGTCTATCTAATCTCCCGTTAAGCCAGCTGTTGAACCCTTAATTTTATTTGGTTTGATTTTCATTTTCACATGTCTGTCTGCCTTTTGTTGCTTTTTGCTTGAAACTGTTATTCTTTGATGAAACTCTCTCTTTCATTGTTTTCTTAACAAATTAATTATAGTTATTTTAAGAATAATATCTAATATTAATATCTGAATTACTTGTCCACATTGATACTAATTTCCTACTTATTTTCAGTGATTTTTTTTCTTTTCTTCTGGTAAGCAAGATAATTTTGAGTAAATGATAGACAAAGCCCCTAAAAAGCTGTAGAAATAATCTAAGGCCGATGCTGTCTTTCTCTGGAGAGGATTTACAGTTTGCCAGACACTTGGAGTAGACTTCCATTCATCCTCAAATCACAAAGGCCAGCAGCTAGATTTTACTTTTGAAGATAGGTAGTTTTTTTTTTTAATTTTTGAGATTATAATTTAGTTATAGTATTTCTCCCTTCCTTTCTTCCTTCTAAGCCTTCTTATCTATGCTTCCCTACTTACCTTCAAAGTCACTACCATTTTCTCCAATAATTGTTATTGCATGTATATTCTACTTGTATATACATATATATTTCTAAATATAACCAGAGTCCATTAAATGCCACTTACATGTATTTTACTTGGATGCATGTTTTCCGGGCTGACCATTTGGCACTAGAACACCGACGAGTACGCTCTCCCTGAGGAAGACCTTTCTCACTCCTTGCTTTCCCAGTCGCCTGATGTTTTTGTGTAGACTTGAGACTTTGTGGGTTCTCCTCTGTCCAGGTTGGCGTGTCCATTGGTGTCATCCTTGTTCGCATCACATTCGGATGGTTACATTAGTGAGATTTTATGGGTATAGATTCTCATATTACTAGGAGACACAACCATACACCAAAATCCTTAATCTTCTGTCTTTTATAATCTTTCTACCCTCTCTTCTGCAATATTCCCTGAGCCTTAGATGCAGGAGTATTTGTATCCAGTGGGTTTTACTGGGTTCCACACCTCTGCATTTTGATTGGTTGTTTTCTGTAACGGTCTGTAGCTGTTGCAAAGAGAAGTTTCTTTGATGGGGGTGTGTGTGAAAACTTCACTTATCTGTGGATATAAGAACAAATGTTTGGAGATTGTTGTTAGGGATTATGTTGGTTTAATAATGGTAGATTCTCCTCCAATAGCCTTAATTTCATTAGCACTGACTAGTTAGCTAGGTTTTCATGACTGGTCATGATATTCCTCTTGTTGAACGGGTCTTAAGTTCAACGAGAGAGCCACTACTGCTTCCATAGGATTATGGTGCCATATTGGCCATTTAAATGCTTCAGTGGCCGGGTATAACTGGTGGTGGTGTCCCTCTTTGGAAAATTGTGTGTCCTCTTCCACAACCGTGGAAGCTAGTTGAGGATATACGATTATACTACTCCTAGGATGTATCCTCTCCAGAATCCTACCTAGGAACATGGGTCTGTAACAGGAGTCTGTCTTCCCTAGAAGAAATGAATCCTGTCTTCTAATTTCAACTCTACAAGGATGCTGAGATCTCTACTCAGCCTCAAAGTATCTCAGTCACTGCACTCCGATCATTTTCTTAGCATTTGACTCCGTGCCATCTGTGAATTAGCAAATGACTTGTAGAGAGAAGTGCCACAGAATTCTGGACCCAACTCAAAATGCTAAGCTACCTACTCTTCAAAATCAATCTTGGCCCCTAGGGTCCTGAGTGTCTTGGGAGTTATTCAAAGTCTTCAAGTGGTTTTGTTCTTTATTTTTTTTCCAAAGTTCCTCCAACTTTTGTGGTTATTCTCACTAGAATAAGAATAAAACAAGCCATTTCACCATTACCCAAAAAATAGATATTTCCTGTCTCTCTTTAATACTAAGTGATAATGGCATTAATATATGTTAGTAAACATCTCTGTTGGACCAGTTGAAAGGGAGTTGGGAAGAAGGCTTTATCAGTAAGCTCATGTCAGCATGAGAGCCTGAATAGCACCCCCAAATTCATATTAAAAATACAAGCATAATGGCCCATGCTCATAATTTTAATCTTAGCACTGAGGAGACAGTGGCAGGTGGCTCTCTGAGGCTGCAAGCCAGCCAGCCTAGTCTACTGGACCAGCTCCCAGCTAAAGAGAGATGTTGTCTCAAATAATACAGTAACCTATTCACCATTTTTCTTTCTTCCAAGCAGCCAGGCTTCACCATGAAAGTCTAGCCATGCAGTTTTAGCAAATATAAGGTCTGTTCCAGCTGTTGCCATTCCAGGACCAATGGGAAGGATTTCCAGTCTCTCCCTGTGAATGTTAACCCATGTTCCTTTCTAAGAGGAATCTTCGACAGATAAACTGAACTGTTCTTTACAGAAGAAAGCACAAAGAGGGATAGTCAAACAAAATTCAGAGTCCAGTGTGCAGTCAGATTTCAGAGAGACATCATAGCTAGACCTCACTGGGAAGACTCCAAATGAGCGAGCTAAGGAAGGGGGCTTCCAGGACAGCAGAAAAGATGAAGCAGGCATGTAAAAGAACACAATGGCTGCTTGTCTCCCTTCACAAAGGAAGCATGTAAGCAAAAGGTTATGGAGCCTTGAAAATTTCTGTTCCTCGAGTTTATCGGAAACTTTGAATTGGCATAGCAGATTTTAAAGCAGAATGCATTTGTACCTCTAGGCAAGTACTCTACAAATAAGCTAAGCCCAATTCTCCATCTGTAACTCTAAGACAAAAGGAAGTGTGTGTTGGTGGTGGTGGGGAGGTTAATGGCTCCTGAAGAATGACACCCAGAGTTGACCTCTGACCTCCACATTTACTTGCACACACACATATGTATATCCTCACACATGCATGCATACATACAAAAGAATTGAAATAAGATGTTCAAAAGCAACATATGTAACTACATGACAGAAATTCACAAAAGATTTTCGATTTGAATTTAAATATTCACTGACTTTAGAAAACTTACAGAAATTAGATTGGTCACTGGTGTTCGACTTTTCCTTTCTTATTCAGTTGCTACAGAACAAGGTTCAATGTCTTGACTTTGGGATCGAGGTCAGGAAGAGCCTCCCATTGTCCCCATTCCCAAAGTGTTCTTTGCCCACCATGACATCACTAAGGCCCTCTGTGGCCACATTTACATTTCAGTGGCCACTGTTAGTACTCAGTCTGTTTCCTTCCCTTGAAGCCTATCCCTTACTTTTTTCCCAGAAAGAATTACTTACCTGTGATACTCAACTCTAGCCCATTTTCTTAGCAGTTTCTGAGTTTTCTGCCGTTGTTGTCCACTCTCTGCACCTTTGCACCAACCACTTACCCCTGGCAATAATTCCAGAGTTAGTGAAAGGTGGCAAGAATTTATACATCAATTTACCTAGAAACTTAAAAGTTGAGAAATACCAAGAGATAGGCAAACTAGATCCGTGTGTGTGTGTGTGTG